AAACTCAATTTCTCTCTTTTCTTTGCTCTTGGATTTTATAGAAGGTTGTGAAACACTTCCCTGTTATTTTGGATCAGCATTAAAACGCATCAAAACCTGTTTAACCGGATGATATATGAAATAACACCAACAAGCTTGGATGAAACTCAATTTCTTTCTTCGTTTTTTCCCGCAGTTAGACAATGAATGTATCAAGCGGGCACCTTTAATAAGAAGGATCTTTCTAACGAGGACCTTGTTCTCTTGCTGTGAAAAAATTTTCGTGTACCTCAATATCTTCCTGTCGTATGAAGAGGTCTATGAATGCATTTCCAATTTTTCTCAAGAGGTGTTACAATAACTTTTCTCCCTCATCGATTTAAAAGTGCCATCTGAAATTCCATTCTTCTATCCAAAATATCTGTTTCGAATCTGTTTCATCTACAAATCCACATGAATTCACAGTACTTCAAATTACATTGAAATATACTTATTTTACAGGCATTATTTAAAATCTGGAACAAGGTGGTGATTCTTTCTCGCCACGAAAAACACTTACCTGAAAAATTCCTTTTTCGCTTGTCGAAAAGAAAAGTGCAGGTCGACGTTTTCTTTAACTTTCTATATTCGTGAGGGGAAGTAATACTTCTCAGTCTTAAGAAAAATCAGCCGTAAGAAATTATTAATTGTCCAATTTGACGAAGTTTGCCGGGGAAATGATGATAAAAGCAGTTTGGGATGCCATACGCTACCTAGTGTGTGTATCAATTTTAAAAACCTATTAAAAGTGTAGCATTCGCCTCCTACGTTTTCGTTACCATAACAATAGGTTTAAAAACCAATCGGAAGGAGCTGATTGACAGAAAAATCCATTTGGTAAAAGCTTTTTCATGCTCCCTTGTCAATGTTTAATGCTATAGACTTACAAGTAAATTATTCCTTTTGGAATTTTTAGACAATTTTAATTTTGAAAGATCACCCCGACTTCATGGCAGAGACAGGTAACGCATAGTGTTCATAACAGTACACTATTCTAGGCTTTCCACACGTGATTAATTTAAAGAAAAAGAAAACCCTATATGCTAAGCAGTTACTAATGCAAAAAAAAAAAACCACAATTACAATATAATGGCCCTTTTTAAAAGTGGCGTTTTTTCTTTATCATCTGATTTAATTCCTTAAAAATTAACTGACATGATATGAAGCTGTTATGAATACAAGACTTCAGCTTCGTATTATTTCACTTTAGCCTATAGCCGTTTCCCGCCATTCATTGGCGAAGCGCAACATTGACGAAGAATTTGGTGAGCAGAGAACAAGAACCAGCTGAGGTCTCTTTGACATGCCGTCACATGAGACTTGTTTATGAAAACACCTCACCAGTGAAAGTGACATATTAAATTAGGTGACTGTTATATGGTCTATCATCGGAATGCAAAATGAAGGTTTGTATATTCTTAATACCTTGTAAGTTCTTCAAAGAACCCTCAAAGGCTGAATTACGTCACAGAAACAGGAAGGAGGCTTTAAAGAAGATTATCTGTGACCACAAATTTGTAATTTAGCATTATAAAATAGAATTGGAATCCTGTGTAAAGTACTGCAATTAATATAGAAGGCACGACAGCAAACACTGGGGTTTAAAATTTAGACACCGGCTGCGTTCAAGCAAATTGGCTGATCAGAGAGGCCTCAAAAGAACTTTTTTAGAGAGTACTTAAAGCAAGTTAATTGACGACTTGCAGATAAGCGGAACGTTTGCAGTAAATGGCAAATTCTTGTCGCCTGTGAAAGTATTTGAATTGAATGCTAACAAGAGTTTGTAAGACATTGTAATTTTTTCAGTGCTAAGAACAGTGAGCAAAAGAAGGGTTTCCTTTTTGCAGTTTCCGTAAACAAACAAAACAGTCGCTATCAGCCAGACTCGTACCCAGTCGCTTCTTATTCGCGAAGTGATTGATGGGGCAGTATCAAGAGAGGGAAGGAAGAAAAGAGCGAAGCCACTTTTTCTCGTTTCTTCCCAAGCACCTTTGCGGACCCCAATCTTCTTCCAGATCTCTCTGCAGATAGAAAATAAAGGTGACGAGTGGGTACGAGTCTCGCTATGAGCTTAAAAGGTCCGCTAATACATGGACCAGATCACCTGTCGCGGTGACAAACAAGATGCTAAGTTTTGAGCTCGGTAAAGAAATAAAGGAAAGATATTTTTCGTCTTGTCACGAGCGTAGGACAAAGAAAAAAATCTGAGTCCTCATGAGGAATCAAACCTCAGACCCTTTGGATTCCGCGCTCCGATGCTCTACCACTGAGCCACAGAGTATTCCATATTTTCCTGTTCCAAGTGAACGGCGGCGAATCATGGAATTATATAATTTGTCTAATCAACTTAAACATTAAGAGAGTGAAATGGTTTCACTCCAATTTGTTGTAGCTAATGTCAGTAATTAAAATCAGGTTATTTTGTCATGGATCTTCGCCGTTTTTTGACAACGGAGAGCTACTACCTGAGGTGACAATCAATCAATTCTTTTAAAAGCAAGAACGTATCACTCACAAACACTGTACACTGAGACAACAAAAAAAGTTAGGTGCACTGCATGACGCTAGTGAAAATATGGGAAATAGTGCCCATAAACGATACAAAGAGAGTTGTGTTGCAAAAAAACTAAAGTCGTCAGAGAATTGATGTTAAAAATTAAAACTCTCTGATGTACAAAAACACGTCGGAATTGGACTGAAAGTAAACTGAAACGATTTTTAGGGAAAGCGTTTAGAGTTGCAACTAGGAATTCACTGCAGAAAGTATTTAAGAGAGGATGTCAGCATCCATCGAACAAATTTGAAATATTGTGGCAAGTCGCCCAAAATTCGTTTTCTCTCCTACTTTCATATTTTGTAGCCCAATATGTTCTAATAATTGTGGTGTAGTTTTTTTGCGAAAATATATTTCAGTTTTCGAGAAATGACTTGTTTCGTTCGACGGCTCAAATATGCAAATTTTAACCGTGAATATTACCCGAGTTGTGTGACCTCATGTAACGAATGTACTAGACCTACGGTATTTCTGTGAACATAATCCTTTGTTTTATCATCTAAACTTAATCCCCTGTCGTTATTGAAGCTACCAAAGAAATATTTATTTTTTGGTGAATATTTTTGTCCGACATACTTTTCCTATGTCGAAAAGTAGCATCAAAACAAAGACAGTTTTAACAATGACCGATATGACACAATCTACTGAGCTTCAAGCTTTTAACAGACCAAAGGATGGTTATAAAGTTACTATAAAAATTTCCTTGTGTATTTGCGTTGTTCTATCTTGAGACGAACTCAAAGTCCGGTAAAATTTACTTGATAGCGACTATGAAATGTACATGGTGCGCCTACTTGTCGCCACCGTTAATTGGCATAAATCATTACAATTTGTACAAAAGTCTAACATAACACTCTTATCTTGTTTATTTATGATTTTATTAGCCGTTTCGATTATTATATTACGCCAGGGTATTACTTTTTGAAAGGAGCTCAGGTTTTGCGTTGTGTTTTCCCCTCCCTCATTTATATCATAAGCCAGTCACGCAATAGTTGATACCGACACATGTGAATATTTACCATTTATAAAGATTTTTGTTTACGTTGAATTGAAAATATTAAAATATATGCTCTCTTCACAAATCGTTGTTTCAGCAGCAGCGAAGCAGTTAAAAGCGGGTTGTAGCTTCAACGCTACTGAAATTTTTAGTATTCAGACAGGCGAGCAAAGCGTGATGCTCTGGGAATAAAAACTTTTAGGGGCCTTTTACATGATATCCGAATGAGTTTTGTACAAGAACGAGTTCATACCGGTTGCCACATAATAACCAGCGTAAAATTTATTTGAAATGAGTCATTTCTGACTGAGTTTATTGGGGTTTTCATTACAGAACGAAACACTCATTCTGGACGACCTTTTCTACCTGTAAAATGTAAACGCGGCACGGCTCTCATATTTGTATGAATCCTCTGAGGGAGCGAGGGAAATTCTGATGTGATTTGTCGAAGAGAAACATGTTTTGTCAGCGTCTAGTCGCTAGTGCGGAAGGACCCTTTACCACCGTGTGCATAATTACGCGTCCCCCCAGACGGCGGAGAGCCAACAAAGTGTTCAGACATTACTTCAGAAAATTCCGCCTCTGACTGAATTTTTGGTAGCCTATTGACCAATTCCCAATCGAAACTTAACTCTGACGTCACGCGTAATTTTGCTCACGGTGGTAAGTAGCCTACTTACCGAAGCCAGATTGTGTGACTTTTCCAGACATCTTGATTATTATCTGTGATACACGCTTGCTAATTCCCCTATCAGCTTTTGGAATCGACTTAACCCTACCTTCACCATGGCCGGACATTTCTTTTGGCACTTTTGGAACCACGATTCCACCCGACACCGAGATTTGATCAGTGAGTGGGGCAATTTGTAAAATCATCGACATCTTTTGGCGTCTCTAAGATACCGGCACGTGACAAAACAAGATCAACTTCATTTTCTGGATCTGAAAACTTGCAACTCCGCAAGTGACATGAAATGTCTTTTTAACAATCACGCAAGGGAACGACTTGGTCTTCTCGATAACTAAACCCACAAGTTCCACCAGCGAACGATTTAACTAAATAGCAAATCTCCATGTTAGCATGTAAGATGAGACGCTTATAAAAACAGATCAGTTAGCTAAATCAGTATGTAGCTTGTCAATCAAATTGACCATTGTAACCATACTTTGACTTCAGCCGGCAAAGGAATCATCGATGGATCTGGACATTTTAGTTTTCTGAATGCAGTAATTCCTGAAAGGTTTTTCTAGATTTCATGCAAACAGGAAAAAAAACCCATCTCTTGGTATTTCGGAGGTTGATTCATCTTTGAATTTCTGTGTCACGCTTGTCACGCAACTGATATATGTTAGAGAAGATATATAAACTGGAACTCAAATCTGGCTAGAATGTGGTAGAGCATAATTAACGTGATCATCGAAACAGCTAATAAAATCATAAATAAACAAGATAAGAGTGTTATGTTAGATTTTTTTGCAAATTGTAGTGATTTATGCCAGTTAACGGTGGCGACAAGTAGGCACACCATGTACATTTCATAGTCGCTATCAAGTAAATTTTACCGGACTTTGAGTTCGTCTCAAGATAGAACAACGCAAATACACAAAGAAATTTTTATAGTAACTTTATAACCATCCTTTGGTCTGTTAAAAGCTTGAAGCTCAGTAGATTATCGGTCATTGTTAAAACTGTCTTTGTTTTGATGCTACTTTTCGACATAGGAAAAGTATGTCGAACAAAAATATTCACCAAAAAAGAAATATTTCTTTGGTAGCTTCAATAACAACAGGGGTTTAAGTTTAGATGATAAAACAAAGGATTATGTTCACAGAAATACCGTAGGTCTAGTACATTCGATACATGAGGTCACATAACTCGGGTAATAATCACGGTGAAAATTTGCATATTTGAGCGGTCGAACGAAAAAAATTATTTCTCGAAAACTAAAATATATTTTTACAAAAAAACTACACCACAATTATTAGAACATATTGGGCTACAAAATATAAAAGTAGGAGGGAAAACAAATTTGGGTGACTTGCCGCTGTTTGTTTGATGCATGCTGACATTAGCTCTTAAGTTTATCGACACTTAAGAAAAAACATTTTAATTTACAGTGAGACGGAGGTTTTTCTCTTCTATTCCGACACAATTTATCTAAGGCCTGCATGAAAGTGAACAAAATCAGAGTTCTGAATGCAGCTGCCACGAACGGCTTGTTGAAACTCGTCAGCGACTAGAAATGAAAACTGATGATATGGTCACGAGTTTTTCAAAATGTTTCCCTCGCACAGGTCAAACCTATTAAACCTCTCTATCAGTCAATCAGGCACTTCCCTTACAGAGATTTCAGATTCATTTCGGACTCAGATTACAAAGAAACTGTGAGTAATCGAACAATAAACTTTGAGCCATCACCCAATTAAATGTTCACAAGCCCATGTCTCATGTTGCTCAGCAACGTCTCTGACCAACATGGCGAGCTCGCAGTAATTAGCAGTTGACCTAAAATAATTTTTTAACTCGCTTTAGTACACACAAGCGAAAAACTGCAGAAGGTTCTTTCTATGTGTTATACAGGCTCTTTACAATTTTGCAAAACTAAAATTCGATCCAAGCAAATACAAGCTTGGTCAACTCATTCACATGCTAATATTTCTCTCCTTCCTGGGTGATCCTTGTCGAAGGATCTTAGAGTGCTCTGTGGGGCTGGCCATCCTGCGCATGTGTATCACAATCACGGCGGTAACTGCGACAAGCAAAGCAACGGCGACGAAACCGGTGACCGCCAGTACGATTGTCATGTAATCAGTGGAATCATCTTTGGTGGTCGTATCAGCAGAAGCATCTACAAGAGAGACAGGTTTTTAAGTAGATATCCGCGCATGAGAAAAAGTTTTTTTGTTAACAGTTATTCAGAAAGATTCTAAATTAGAAGGATATGATGCTGACTGTTCTTCAGTTTGTTCTCATTTATAACACGTAGCTGAACGTTTGTGAGCGACTAGAACTACTACGACGAAGGAAACGTCTCCGCGCATCCTAGCGCGCTTCCTCTTGACAGTCAAAGGTAGAGGAACGACTGGGGACGAGTGGATGATGGGGGGAATTAGGGGCAAAGGTCGAGGAGTGAAGGACGAAGAGCGATGAGGGAGGGACGTGATGTAAGGGGAAAATATGGGGGTGAGGGGTTAGTGGAAGAGGAATTAGGAAGGGAATTAGAGGTGAAAGGTAAGAGTTCAAACTGGAGAAGAGAGAAGTTTGTATGAGGGAAGTTATGAAGGGGTCAAGGATGGAGAAATTTTGGATGCTCACTGATCTCAGAAAAAAGATATGTACCCCGTTATTCAAAAGTAAATATTTCTAATATTAATGAAGAAAAACTGAAAACCTTTGCCTTCCTCTTCAATCTGCCATGGGCCAATCCTGAGATGATGAGGCATGGATCCTTTATCGTAATTTTCATCTTCAATTGATCTTCTCTTTCTCCCCGATTTGTCATCGCATGCTGCGCATTTATCGAAGCAACTTGAATTCTGGACTCCAGCCAAGCAGACAACTACGTCACAATGCACGAAAACGACGTCACTAACTTTGAAACGAAACACTGCGAATTCAAACTTTTGGAGCGAAGATTTTTGGCAGGAATGTGCTGTACGATTGTCGGAGTCAGTATCTGGACATCTGTATCAAGGTATAAAAAAAAACTGTGAATAAAATATCCACAACAAAGAGCCTTTGAGAGACGCTGCCTCTTTTGGTTTTTAAAAGTCCTTATCTGAATACTCTCCACCAAATGGTATAAAATGTTGATTTTAAACCTATTTCCAATTTTCTCTTGAGATTCCTAGTAGCAGTGACCTAGATGATATTTCTCAGTAAAAAGCGTGCAAATCACAGTTTTATCCCCTCTTTTCCACCAGAGGCCTTCGGGTATTTATGTAGCATCAGGGCTGCCCCCACATCACCCTATAATCTTCCGAACGCTCTTCCTCCCATTTACAGCTATCTATGCTTCTTGTTGTGCTAAAATGACAAGTCATTACTTATCTCACGGGGGGGAGGTGTGGAGGAGTTTGGCGGGATCGCCTACACAATATATAGGGAGTAGGGACATAGTAAATTGACTTTCAATCAACTGCCAATGTGGGGGTGGGGGAGGGGGAATATTACAGAGCCTTATGATGAGATTAGATACATTGTAATCATGACACACTGGTCTCTAATATTCTTACCCGTCTAGGACAAATTGACGCTGATTCACATCCGTTGGAACTGACGAGGCTGTCGCCCAACATCTCTCCAACAGAAGCTGCAGATCTTTGTCAGCTGAAAGAACCTCCACCTCTATGTACAACATGCTTCCAATCGCCAACGGCCCGGCGTTCGATACGAGTTTTTCAGAATGATCACTGTCACGGAATGCCCTCATTTTAAAATCCAAGCTTCCGTACTCTGGAATCAAATAAATCAGAGTGACCGATTTCCAAACTATTTTGTGTTTTCCAAAATAGCATTTTCTGTTAAAAACGGAACTTTAAGGGATATTTTCCATATCGATTCCGCAAGATATCGTGCTTTTTCCCCGTCAAGTGCTAACTTTTTTAAAACTGACAGAACTATGCATTTCTATCGTGACATTTCGCACGCCAGAGATGCAGAACATACAAATTGGGCTGTGAACTTTCGTTAACACTGTTGATTCAGGAACCGAACGCAAGTCTAAAGAAGGTGTTGATTTCTTTCGTTTGCGTTGCCTTTGTACGTTTCATTAGTGAAGCAAACAAGTGCGAAAAAATGAAATTACACATTTATGCATTTTTTTTGCTATTATCCAAGCCTTACCCTTTGTGCCCTGAAAAGCTCAAAGGAAAAAAAAAACAAACAAACGAAAAGAATATCTTACGTGACGTTCGTGTCGCGAACGAAAATAACAATTTTTAACATACAAGTCAATAGGCCATTTTGAATTGTCTGAAACCATCTATGACCAACAAAGCTTAAAAGTAAAACTAATACCTTTGCTTGTAGTTGGTAGTTTGAAATTATTAATTGTCTCGATGTCGGCTTTTAGAGTTGCGTTCCTCTCATAGATACAGGTAGCGTCAAATGATATGTCGTGGGTGAAAGTGATCTTGACTCCTTGCGCGTTTCTTCCCGCTTCACCGTGCACCGTGTTCTGGTAATGCAGATAATTGCCGCGTTGTGATACCCTCATTCCGCATGCGCCAGTTTTTAAATGAAGAGAGACGTCCTCGTCAGGATTGATAGCATGCGTGCACTCATCAGTCCGCTGGTTTATGTACAGCTCGTGTAAATCTGACCCCAGAGTATGTTTAGAAATGGTGACGTTCATCCAAAACGCGTCACAGGAAACGTTAAAAGCTAAAAAGGAATAAATGAAATATTAGATGAAAATATGAAAAAAGCATTTTCGTCAGATCGTAATAAAGCCCTACAGAAAGGACAGCGACAGGTATTAAAAAGTGTGACGATTATTATAAATAACGACAGAACACATACTGTTTAAAAATTGAAACAGAAAGGGCACATTTTATCATCATATTAGGAGGAATGAGAACATAAAATAATCTTTTCCCTTCCGCATTTAATGTCACCTGGAGTTCCATAAACTGCAACTCTGAGACACATCGATGATCCATTTACTTGTGTTGGCTGGAATCGCACGCTGGATACTGCTCTTGTTTCCACCAACTGATTTTGAATAGTATCATTTGCGTCGGCGGAATTAGTAACGAATTCCTATCGCAAGGAAGTAAACCAAATAAACGTTAACCACTGACCGTGAATAACTCGTAAAATGTGAAAATATAAGACAGCGCAAGAGGTATAAGTCAGAGCGATTTTCTTTTTACCCGTACTTATCTTAAAGAAGCATCAAACTATTGGATTACTGACAGACCCACCCAAGAAGTTGAGCTCAGAGTAATTACTTTCGTAGGGGTGGGGGATCTCCCTAAAAGAGCGGAAAAAAACTGAGATTTTTGATAGAGTGTAGATAAATATGTTGTAATAAACCTTATGTTAGCTTGTATGTTCTGTTTTCCCAATTGATGACTCAAGGGAATTCCACCTTTTTTATCTTTTTGCAAATTATGGGTTCATATGCACGTGAATAGAACAAAATTTGAAATAAAGAGTTCTCCAAATATTATCACATGACCCGCATTGAGAAAAAAAAAACCGATCCGCTAAAAAGGTCAAGAGGCGCTTGTGATGGAGAGAAAATGACCGTTGTTAATGATTGACATAATCACATGACAAGGTACTCTCGTACCCAGACCTTCCACAGCGAAGCGGTTGTACATTTCAGTTACAGTTACATGGTAGGATCTGGGTACGAGATTAATGACAAGGGTATGCGTGGAGTATATTAACCTGTGTGGGAACCGACCAAACGTTTTCTTTGCTGGAGAACGCCAGTTTATATTTGCTAGGATAAGAGTTGACAGTGCCATCGGCATAGCCTTGTATTTTAACACCGCATACGTCATAGAGGTGGCCGAGGTTTACATCAAGGTACTGGTTAGGAGGAATCTCGTCTGTGCACCAGGCCCCGTCGTTATCTATGACGGCGTCACTTGGCGGGTAATTCGTTTTAGTTGACGAGGCTGTGTAGGTGACGTTAGTGATCATATTCTCAAAGCAGTCCGCTATAATGAGAAATGAAAAAAAAGATTTTTAGGAAAGACGGAACACATTTTGAATGCGTCTTAAAACTAAACATAAAAAAAACTACAACGACGAATCTGAAAGGATAACGTTATTGAGAGCCAATGAGAACCGTTATAGCAAAAAAAAACAAACAAACAAACAAACATGTGTTCTGTGTTTTCTTTAAGATCGAAAGTAATTTTTTATGAAATGCAAAAATTAGAATTTGATGAAGTCAGCCATTTAAGGAAACGATTTTCAAATTGAATACTTCATCCTTTTACCTTTTACAAGAATTTCCTTTTGTGAAAGAATCACCATCATCGTTGTCCATAACAGTGTTGCCATGACTGTGGTGGTAAGACTTGTGCTTTGAGGCACAGGAGGTTCCTTGATCTACTGGCTTATCACCCGGTCTGTAATTTGAAGGAAAACGGTTTAGTTGCAACGATGAGAAAGGTGAAAACAAAAATCCAAACAAAGTATTCTGTGTTCTTGGTAAAGTCAAGAGAATATCAACAGGTAAATTTTCTGCAGAAAATCTTTTGCTCTTGATTTGTTATCACTCTTGGAGCATTTTTCATACGAGTGTCGGAAAACAAAAATCTAACGTCATCACAACTAACCAATCGGAACTAAGGACAACAAAATCATCAGCCAATGAGAACTCAGTAAAAGAAACAACTTGCTCAAAGGGCGGGAAAACGCGGGTGACCAAGTTTTAGTTTTGCAGTTGATTGGTTGAGATGGTGGTGCCAGTTTTCTTAACCAATTAAAGAGCGAGTTAAAGCAAAATCAAAGCAACCCAGGATCATTTTCAACTCTCAATTGAAAACTGCTCTGTCTAAAAAAAACTGTTCTAACAAACATTCAGGGATACTTGAGGGTCTCAATGGGGTGATGACTTTTACGGCTATCGGTTAAAATTTTGGCCAATTTCCGGCTAACGGTTAACACCTTTCCATTGTTTCCACCAGACATATTTTTTACGGTTAACTTTTTTTACGACTAACGGTTAAAATTTGTCAATTTTTACGTCTAACGGCTAAATATTTTGGCCGTTTTACGGCTAACGGTTAACCCCATTGAGACCCTCATACTTCTTATCATGTTCTATTTTCAATTATATATGTGACATTAGGATCTTCGAAGTTAAATACTCCAATTTAAATCAAGCAAACAAAAATTTTGGCTGATGTTTGTGAGACTCAAGTTCAATTCTATACTCAATTTTCTCACGTCACTCCCTTTTCATATTTCCCAAAATCCAAGCAACCAATCTTTTTTGTTGGAAAAGGGTAAGAAGAATATTTAAAGATTATTTAAACGGGCCAAGTACTGCAAAGCAAAGGTTTAAGTTTGAAGGTTGCATTTTCGAATCATCAACTCTGTTTTGGAGACTTTTGAGGTGACAGTTGGGACATTAGTTTGCCATCTTTTGGACCGAAAGCAATTCATGACTAATACAATTTCAGAATTCTAAATAAGTGTAATTTTATTATGAAAAATCTACATTTTTAAAATGCAATTTAAGAACTTTGTTTTAAGTAGTCGTTTCTGAATGTCTCTTTGCTTAAAAATTGGCAAGTTTTATAACCACAGCTGACAATTTTTACTTCGTTTTCATTTTCTGACTAACTTCGTCGTTAATTTTGAGTTATTAAAGCAGCTTTTGTTTTGAATATTTTCACAGCAGGACATCGGTTCGACCTTGCTGATTCGGAAACTAAAAAACGAGAGACAAAACACATTTCCTAACAAATATGTTTGCCGACTTCATGAGTGTTCCAAAGTTGGGGTAAAATATTCCTATCCAATTCCATTTGTAACGGAAAGGTTTTTCTGCGAACTGTGTATAATTTAATCATAATTATCTGACGATAGGATTTTGAAAAATGTAACAATCTTTAGACATGTCTGCCAGCCTTAGCTCCAGTGTCTCATTTTCGGTGCCGATCAGAAAGTCTACGTAGCGAGTTAACATTATAAAAAACCGCTGATCTCGTTCGTTCACACAAATTCATTTGAAAACTGGGATGTACGCGAAGATGATCATTTCGTGATGAAGTTTTGTCATAACTTCGACTTCGAACGGGTGTCTGAAAACGGACGCATGCGGTGTATTCCAAATTTAAATGTTTTTGTAATTATGTTAACGATTAGAAATTCATTAGCTTTTACTTCTTCTACGAATACCAGATTCATATAAGTTAGATGTTTAAAGATGATTACCGCACTCAACACTATCTGTCCATCTCAATTCCTTAACTCTCGGAATAAATTAGAGAAAGTTTTAAGTGGTTTGTGGTGATAATTGCAGCAATGAAGTGTTGAAACCAACTTCTGTCAAATTTGTTCAACTTTGTTCTCAAAAGTATGGTACTAATTCAAACGATAAGTTCAATATTTCACGAAACGTCGATTACAGAAGTCAAAATACAACATTTTACTCAGTCGGGTACGAAGTCAGTGCCTTGTTACTCACCATTTGTCGCTTTAATGACTCGGAAAGATCAGTCTAGAAAACTTTCAATGGGTTTTATCTGGTCTAAAAACGTGATCTTAATCAAAACCTCTACGGTTCGTGTCGTCTCTTTATTAAAGAAGAATGTTCATATTAAGGGAACATTTGATTCATAGAAATATGTTTAGTCAATAATTAGAGACATCATGATTCAGTTGAAATAGGAAACAAATCACTGAACTGAAAACCAACTTGATCGAAAGTCAGAGCACAATTGTAGAGTCTTAGATGCTTATGGCTTTTCAATGTTTCCTAATATAAACTACTCAGACATCAGCTGGGTTCATTTCTGAATTCAAAGTAGAGTTTGAAGCTTATGGTATCAATTTGTATGCGTCGAAACAATTCAATTTCCTCACTGAGGTGGATATTAATGATCGCACCGGGTATGCGAATATTTATCCCAAGAAAAGAGAATCTTTCATTTGTTTCAAATGGCCTCCCTCTTACCTTTCGTTAACAGTGCCAGTTTGTTCAGTTATCAAATGTAACGTGTAACCTTTTTCAACCAATTTGGTTCTCACATTGCCATATATTCCAATGTTGCAGTTGCTGTGCTTGTTTGCGTCTCAATGCGACAGAACACCCTACGGTCGATTTGCTTCAGTGCATTGATTAACATTGCAAAAAACGAGACAAAAATTCTTTGTTAGATGCGGAGTTTTCTTGTGTAACTGTTCAGCGTGATTCCAGCTGACCCCCATTATGTAAAAATCCGTTCTATAAACTTTTTAAGATTTTGCATGCAAAAGAACTATTATTCAGTTCGTAACTACAACCTAGCTCTTTTTCATTCACTGGCCATCCAGAGACAAGAAATAAATTTTAATAAGGAAGGGAAATAAAATGAATCTTGTCACGGAAGACAATCAAAAGCAAGAAATTCTGGGCAACAATAAGCAAATTTTTGCTCGAAGTTTCTCATAACAGTAAGTACCGTCAATGTCATCATGTTGTATTAGGCGACACAAAAATTCCTGACTGGAATTCTTATGCATACATGAGTGTAAACATTGATCAAAATAGCCTCAGGAGGATTTTATTTTAGTAATTCAAGCCCTTCCTTGGGTGGCTATTTGCATACCCTCGAGCTTATACGCGCGAAGGAGGTTATTTAAGTGCACATGCGTATACTATTCATTCCATAGCGTAGAAACAATTTTGATGTGTAGTCCGTTGCGTGATTCCCTTCCTAGACTTCATGTGGCCCCAGGAATATTCTTTCTCCGTTTTCTATATGATAGGCTCGATTTCCGCTTCCACTGTTTTCTCGAGTCCAGTCTTCGATCTTCTGGAGGTGTGACTTTCGGGGGAGAGATGAAAACGGCGACTGAATAAAGCCGTTCCAAAACTGATTTTAAGACCAGATTTCCCAGCCCCCATACTAGAATAAGAGAGCCTTTCTAAATTGATCTAGTCGCCGCACTTTTCTTAAAATAAATCGGCTCATGGAACGTTCGGTTCTGACCCGTGCTTTGGGTTCTATTCAATGAAGCTTAATGAGAAATTTTCTTTTTTTTCGCCATGAAAAATTCAGCCTTGATTTCTCAATTTTTGTTATGTTCTTCTTTGTTTGTTATTATATGACTTAAACTTGTTTTTTCACTTTAACCGAACTCACGTAAAGGGCGTTTTTCACGTCGGAAAAATGCGTCACATTTGCCCTGTTGACGCAAATTCGGATCAAAATTGAGCAAAATAAACATTCTTGAAAAGATATATCAGTATCAGTTTTGGCACTTTTCGGTAAATAAAGATTGATCAAATAAAACAGGAGTGGAATTATCATTATTATCCTTGTTATCAATTTTGGGAAGTTTTGATAGGTACCATCAATTATGCCTAACTTGTCTTCAAATATAGGTTTTTTTTTAAACTTTGGTCTCAGTTGTAAGGCCTGTCTTGTCATAACACCTCAAAACACACTCAACTGAGTTTAAAATTTAACAGGTTTCATTGCTCAAGTCAAAAAACTATCCAACATAATTGGAGACAAATTAACATATTAATCAGAACCTGTCTGAAGTTGCTTAAAAAGAATATGAGGATTAAAAAAAGATTAAATTTTGCCCTTTTTGATAACTAATTATCTTTATAATAAGTTTTGTCATGAATCTTTTCGAATCAAGTTAATTTCTGTTGGAGCAAGACTCGTAAAACAATCAAATTAACAATTGAATTCAGTTGAAATAACGAGATTCGACACGTTAAAAATAATAATGACGTAAACTGATCGGAATTAATTAGACAAATTGACAAGACTGATAGATATCAGGTTTGGTTGTTTTGAGTCCATGAAATTTATGAAAAGCCGAATATAATTTCATCCGTTTTGATTTTCAAGCTCCTTTCTTTTTTTCCCTAAAGTGACATTTTGTTATCAGAAATCAAGGATGTGTCTGACACAACTTTCAAACGTGTAAACGCTTCCGATCCACAACCAAATGACGTTTCGTGGGAAAACATCATAAGATTGCAATTAGCTAAGAACAGTCGCTGCTCTATCACATATACAATCAAATATTGATACTTTATTTTACATACAGTCCAAGATTTAATTAAGATCACTTGGTAGTCGATGGAAGCCATTGTCTTAAGGGCAGGAGGGGAACGAAACGAACGAGCGACGGTGGATTATCGGCAGTATGCATTTCCAACCTAAGGTCGCGTTGAAATCGTATACTCCAACCAATTGGTACATAATTCTTTTTTCCCATGAATGTGAGATCAATAGCTATCTTTTGACTTTTGATCGTGAAAGAAAAGCGCGTTCTCATGCATTCGTCTTTTTTTTCTTCAAAAGAGCCTTTCTTGTTTCGTATTAACCAGAGCTAATGTCATGACGTAATCAATATTTATTTTTCTATATGACTATCCTTTCTTTAGCTTTGCTCATGAACTTTACCGTATTATATTTATATTTTTTAACCCGGAAAAATGAATCCAGTTTCAGAAAATCGCCTGGCCATTGTACTAATGTCTTGAGGCTTTTGAAGATCTTGACACTTCCTAATTGATGTTTGTTTTTTTAAGGAAATTTTGGAAAAATCGGGTCCCGAAAATACACCCAACATTCTTTGATCTCATTCTTTTCTGCCGGTTGAGTTTCAACAGTTTCTGGCCATTTGCAATCGGTTTTAGCCAGTAGCCCATTACTTAATGGGCTCCTGGTTTTAGCGCATTAAAGTAGCTTAGAACTCTTGGGAATACCGGGCCAGGAAAATTTCTGTTGCAATCCTCCACACCTCCACCCCCCCGCCCCCCCAGGAGATAAAAAAGCAAACTTTCCGATTTTCAAGAGGACAACTGCAAGTGACGGCTTGCAAATAAAATTGTCTTCTTTTAATTAATTGGAAACCTGATAGTGTGACAATTGTATTGATTTCATCACAAAAAGACAAAATATACAATAAAAATAACTTAGGAAGGTGCACACTGTTGAACTAAAACATTCGCTCACGCTTTGAGGTAGAAACACGCATCCTTCCAGTTGCCAGAGGCCTTGTTCTGCCACCCAGATGTACGGGCCTCCCGAAGGCGAGAAAATTGCGCGAGACGCTTTCCTCTTCGGTTTGATATCGTTTATTTTAGTTGGAAACACACTCATCATAGTAGCATACAAGAAAACTCTCAGGCTACGTACAAGTTCGAATGTCTTCATAGTAAGTTTAGCGGTATCCGACTTGCTCATCGGTGCAATAGCTGTGCCTCTTTATCTTGTAACGCTGAGGGAAGGCTATTCCGTCAACCATCTGCTGACCAAGACATTCATGTCCTTGGATATCTTCAGCGGCACCGCGTCTGTTTTTCATTTGATGTCAGTGACGGTGGACAAATACATCGCCATCTCTAAACCTTTCTTGCATCACCGTCTTCCTTTGAAGTCCTATCATTTTACTCTAGGAGTTGTCTGGGTTTTGTCCATCTTGCTCTCCTCTCTTCATTTTGCACTAACTCCCCGCATCAGCAAAAACTTTCCACTGTACACCCTCTCGACTGTGTTCCTCTTAGCGCTGTTCGTCATTTCTCTTGTAAACGCTCTCATTTTCAAGATCACCAAGTCTTTGATTCACAGCAATGTGGAACCAGCGGGAGAAGCAAATGTAACTAGGGCCAATGAGAGGAGGAAAATTCGACGCGAGATAAAAACGGCTTCGACGCTATTAGTGATCAGTGGCGTGTTCTTCATAACCTGGCTCCCCCACTTATTGGGTGCGTTCGTGTTTACGTATTGTTTCCCTTGCAATTTGGCCCTCGTAGATATAGGGCGTATCGGAGCCTGCATCAAGTGCCTGCAGTACAGTAACAGCGCCTTAAATCCCTTTGTGTACGCCTTCCGCGATGCCGAGATGAGAAGAGCCATAAGGATTCTAATAGGGTCCTGTCGGAATCTGGTACAGCCACGCACAAGACCATCGATTGTCATTTCATCATCACTGACACAGCCAAGATAAACAAATGAAACTTAGTTCATTGGAATCTTCCACTGTTTGATAAAAATAAGAGAAATGCCTCGTTACCATACTACGTGCAATCGATGTCGTCTCAATTGTTCGGGTCGTTGGTGACTTTTAATTTGGTGAAGTTTCTCTATAATCTTTTCGAATCAAGCGAGGCGATTTTATGGTAGCCGGGCTTAATGCAAAATAAAGGCTTAGTCAGTTGGAGGCTCGGTTCTTTATGAAACACGAACGCTTTTTTGGCCACCTTCCTCTGAAGGAACGATTAAGAATTTCTTTCAAGCTGTAAAAAGTTTCATGGAAAAAATCACAGTCTTATGTGTGTGAGCAATGACTGAACTCACGATCCGGAAGCACGAGGTAGCTCACCAGGAATTGAGTCCAGTTAACGAGGTTATGATTCATCAAAGTGTTGACTAAACAACTTGAGACTGGGGTTTCAGAACTAGGCCGAATGGTTTCTTGAGATTCCGTTGATCTCTAGATCAAGATCAAGGATATAAAGACAACTTTATTAACCCTCACATATAAACTTTATCCAATGAACTTGTTAGGCGACATTTGAAGTTTTCTCGACAAGAACTCTTGCCAAGGATTCAAAAAAATTGCTAGCTATGTACATCAGCCAAAAAACTTGTCTTTAACTTTCGTCGAGACAAAAGCTTGCCTTATACATATTTCCATTTATACTGCAACGTCGAGGAAAAGGTATCAAGGTTTTACATGACGCGAGAAAGCTTACGTAAAGGACAGTGTTTTGATAAATTTTTTTATTCCTTTTTGTTAAAAGTTTATAGTAGCTCTGTATAAATGAAACGCAATGAATTACCAATTGAGGCAAACAAATAGGGCTTTTCATTATGGAAATTTTTTTGGTAATACTTTTGATAGAGGTAAAATGCACAGTTTGCGTGTGCGCTTCAGGCATCAGAGTGAGTTTCGTTCGTATTTTCAGGAGCAGCATTGCGCGGGAGATAATGGATAAAATTCTATTTTTAGAATGCCGTTGACTCCGTGAGAGGTGTGTCATGTTTGTGATCTATTGTGCACACGTGTATAAATAAAAAGTAAACGATACTTTGTCCCAAGAAACTATGCAAATTTTCAAAGTAATCAGCTTAACATCTACGG